TACCCAGCCCAGGGGGGGGTCATGACCCCCATGACCCCCCCCCCCCCTGGATCCGCCCTTGGTTTGTAATTCTATGAATAGAGAAACACTGCGTAACTACTCATAACTGCTCTTCGTTTATTAATATGAGGGTTAAGATCAAGTGGAAGGAAGCCTACGAGAAAATCGCAGGGAAAAAGAACGATGACTTCTTTTTAGGGTTCGCTTGCCAAATGACAAAAAACGGAACCCTTATAGATTCGTCATGTCTGTCTGTCTGTCCGTCTGTCCGTCCGTATGTCACAGCCATTTTTTCCGAAACTATACTGTTGAAACTTGGTAAGTAGATGTATTCTGTGAACCGCATTAAGATTTTCACACAAAAATAGAAAAACAAAACAAGAAATTTTAGGGATTCCCCCTACTTAGAAATAAAACAAAAAAAAAATTCATCCAACCCATACGTGTGGCATTTCTATGGATATGTGCTCAAAATAATATTGATGTTTCTAATATATTTTTTTTCTAAACTGAATAGTTTACGCGAGGGACACTTCCAAAGTAGTAAAATGTGCCCCCCCCCCACTGTAACTTCTAAAATAAGGGAATGAATAAACTAAAAAAATATAAGATGTACATTACCATGCAAACTTCCACCGAAAATTGGTTTGAACGAGATTATTTATTAATCTGGAACAACGGAACCAAAGCGCGATTCAGGAGACTACAGCGCCATCTCTTGACCATTGGTGTAGTAGAACCAAAAACCACATCTTTATTTTTTGTAATAAAGTAACAGTTATAGGTATTCATATTTATAATATTTATCCACATGTTTCTAGTTTGTATATTCGGAATACGTGTTTGAGTTTCATACAAGTGCAAATCACATATGTTCTAATAAATTATATTCAGTAGCGATTTTAATTGAATATTTTGCGTATTTATTTATTTTTTCAAATTAAAACTGAACTTTATTGACTGTGTCCTTTTCCAGACTTTTTATTAATTTATTGTAATTAATTATTTGCATGCAATTAAAAACTAATTTTAAACGATGCCAAAGAAGGATAACTTCTCACGCGCCTACATTAGTACACGCACCCATTTTTTTTATAGATAGATCCGACAAATGACTCCACCCCACCTGATGTTAAGTGAAGGTGAAGTCCAGACGCGAAGATAGCTGATACAGCAGTTCTAACTGCCACACCAGCCATCCTCACCCTGCCGGCCTGCAAGTTGCTTCTTCACGCCTCTTTTAAAGGATCCCAGGTTGTAAGAGGGAGGGAACACGTGAGTGGGCAGAGAATTCCATTTACGGATAGTACGACAAAGAAATGAGTCACCAAATTTCTTTGTACGCGTTGGAATTGTAGCCACAGTTAGACGGTGACAACGTAAGCCAGCGCGCGTGGTCCTCTGAAGGAAAGGGGAAGGTGGAATAAGAGAGAATAACTCCTCAGAACACTCGCCGTGGTACAGACGATAGAACGCGCTTAGTGACGCCACGTCACGGCGTATTTGAAGAGGCTCGAGGTGTTTAGTCACCTCCTCATCGCCTATGATGCGGATTGCGCGCCGCTGTAACCTATCCAAAGCATCGAGCAAGTACTTAGCGGAGCCATCCCAGAGGTGCGAGCAATATTCCACGCAAGACCGCACCTGCGTCTTATACAACAAGCACAGTTGCTCGGGCGTGAAAAAACGCCGCACCTTGTTCAGGACTCCGAGTTTGCGTGAGGCTGTTTTTATCACACTCGATGTAATTCTTTGGATTTAAGTCACAGCGAATCTCCATACCGAGCATGGTGATACTGCTCTCTAGATCCAGTGGTGTGCCCTGAAGAGAAGGACATAAAAGGAATGGCGACGTTTTTGCCGTGAAAGCACAGACCTGGGTTTTCTTAGCATTGAACTCAACCAAGTTCCTGGTACCCCATACAGAAATGTGGTCCAAAGCCCGATTGAGCTCAATGACAAGATTCTCCCGTTTCTCCTTAGTTACCGCCTGCCCAGCCGCTGCTTGTCCGAGATACCCCGCATGTACTGTACTATCGTCTGCATAGCAATGAATATTCCCAAGAGGAATTAGGTCATTAATATGCAGCAGAAAGAGAGTGGGGGATAGGACGGAGCCCTGGGGAACGCCGGCATTCACTGACATGAACCGCGAACTGCTACCATCCGTAAGGACACGAATTCTACGCTCATGCAGGAAGTCAGCTACCCAAGAACAGAACTGGGCCGGCAGACCGTATGCCGGAAGCTTGGAGAGAAGACTTGTGCCAGACCCTGTCGAATGCCTTGGCAATGTCAAGGCTAATAGCCAACGACTCGCCTCGCTTGTCGATAGCCTCACCCCATATATGAGTCAAGTACGCTAGAAGATCACCCGTCGATCGTTTCGGTCTAAAACCATATTGACGATCATTGATCAGGGAGTGATCCTCTAGGTAGCGGGTCAGATGGTTGTTAAGGACCTTTTCTAGGACTTTACATAATACTGAGGTGACTGCTATTGGCCGGTAGTTAGTCGGGTCTGAGCGATCTCCTTTTTTGGGTACCGGTTGCACGTCAGCAACTCTCCAAGTTTCCGGCACACGCCCCAAAGAATACGAGCACTGGTACAAACGCGTGAGCACGGGAGACAATTCCGCTGCACATTTTTTCAGTACTACTGGGATGCCATCGGGTCCACTTGCTTTCCGGACGTCGAGTGATTGCAACTCGGCACGAACCTCACGCTGCCTGATTTTGATATCCGGCATCGTTGTGCCACAATGAGGTAATGATGGTGGCGGTGCATTGCAATCATCGATTCGGGAGTTAGCCGCAAAGAGTTTTGCCAGTAAATCGGCTTTCTCCTGCGGCTTATGAGCTAGTGTTCCGTCTGGGCATCTCAGAGGTGGCAGCGAGGGCTGGCAGAAGTTCTTTTGCACGGCCTTGGCCAAACGCCTATAGCTACGGGAGCCCGTAGGATGCGTTATAAGTTCGTGACCAACACGTGCTACGCGCTGGGCATCCGCTCTGATGTAAGCCTTCTTACAGGCCTTGGAAGCACTATTGTAGGCTGCTTTTAGTGAATCGACCCCGAGATGATCCACCACGCGGGCCCAGTGCGGATTGGCTGGTGCTAACGACTGCAGATGCAGCCGGGACGGCTTAACGTGCTTTCCGAAGCACGGAGGAACTCGAGATAGAAGATTTTTGGACACCCATCCAATGACCGACCACTGCGAAAGTTGCTTAACTTTAACGATCGCAGCCGAACGCGCTAACCACCTGCGCCATCGAGCTCCTCCTAAATGGAATTGCGGCATTAGATTTCTTAGACCCACTTGACCAATGTTCCTTAATTAAATTTAAAGCAAGATCATGTTTAGTTTACCATTCTATCTGTTTTGTCTTTAAAAAGTTATAAAACTAGCTTAATTTTGATTTGAGATGTTGGTTTAAGTATCATTTAATAGTTTAGGTAAACAACAGTTTCTGATCCTGCTGTGTCCATTAATAGGTTTTTGTTATATGTTCGGGTAAAATAGCGTCCCAATATAATAATAAATTCCAATAATATGCTGTTGTGCTTTCGCATAAATTGTATTGTTATTATCTTATTATCCTGTTCCAATGTTAACTAATGGTGACGAAAAAATGGTCTGAAATTCGTATACGTTATATTTATTTTATTCGTATAATGTATACGAATATAAAAAATGGTCTATAAAAATATACTCGTAGCTTATGTAGGTGCATATTATGTAATGATGCAATAATAATATTAAATTAATATTTCATCACCTTGTAATCACCACACTTACATAGGCCCGTAGCGTTACGGCCTCCTTGTTTGTATACACTCTTTGCAGTAATGCCTACGGCTGGCAGGTGTATTAAAAAGTAAATTACATTTTAAAGCTTAAAATATGAGAACATTCTGTGTCATATAGAATATTCTAGAGAGATTGAATTCAGGCACAAACTCAATCGGTTGATAATATTTCATTGTATTTTACTGAATTCAAATAAAACCAGTTGAAGATAATAAGTATTCTCATTTTAATATCTTCAGCTACGTTCCCCGGGTTCTTCCTTTCGGGAAGAACACTTCAGTACCCTAAACATCTCCTTTCGATATACATGATTATCTTGTATTTTTTTTTACGAATATTTAGGAATTTTCGTACAAGAACAAGGTAATTATGTATATTGAAATGAGTGATGGACCATTTTTTTCGTCTTTGACCTTGGCATGGAAATACATGCATACAAATTAGTAACGAGCATAGTTTAAGCCGTAAATCTTTTTAAACTTATTTTTATGCCTATTTATATTCATCTGAAAGGAAGTCGATTGCTTTAATATGACTATTTTATTGACACTTAAAACTTTGAAACATTTATCGAGGCCCATTGAGTTTGTGAACTGGTTGATAAACTTTTTACGTTTACAATATATTTTTAAACATGTGCTTCATGCACATTAATGCATAATGAAGTTTGTCTAAATTTCAGTCAAGCTAAATTACTAATTATTGTATACTAATATATATATATATATTATACTAGCAGTCCCAGCGAACTTCGTACCGCCATAAAAAAAATAGGGGTTGGTGGTAGAAGGGCGAAAATTTTGGGTTATATTTATTTTTGTATGATGTATCATAAAAAAATTAAAAAAAGAAATATCTAAAATTGAAAAAAAAAATTAGGGGTGGATTACCCTTAACATTTAGGGGGATGAAAAATAGATGTTGTCCGATTCTCAGACCTACTGAATATGCATATAAAATTTCACGAAAATCGGTCGAGCGGGACAAATCTGTTCCGTGAATTCTTAACCTAACTCATCCTATGACAGGATAGGATGAGTTAGGTTAAGAACTCGTTGCGAAAGCTTTTGAACTTCCATAAAATTCCTAGCCTCTGGACCATCAAGTTCATCTTCGATTAAGGCGCCTGTATCATGTTTCATATGATCTAATGTTTTGAGTTCGTTCATCAGCGTGATTTCCCTCCAGCCAGGCCAGACCTTGGAGAAGGACATGGCGCCCCCGGAGCCGCCCAGCTCGCAGTTCAAGTTCGGCTGGATCAAGGGTGTGCTGATGCGGTGCCTGCTCAACATATGGGGGGTTATGCTCTTCCTGCGTCTGTCCTGGGTCGTCGGACAGGCGGGCGTTGGTTAGTACTCACTTAGCTTGTTATTTTCTTATTTATAAGCCATGGCAAATGTCTGCGCTGATGTTTATTGTTGATGAAATCTTTTATTGGCTCTTGTCATATTAAACTGTACCCTATTGCTGGAGCCTAGAAGTTCTACAACCTTTACTTACTGCTTTAACGAACACCATTGTTTGTGTTTTTGGCTGCATTCTTCTGTATGAAGACACATCCTTAGACGGATATTTTAATAGGATTGGATAATTCGCTGTGCCTATTCTTTCTTAAGTTGGGGACAACTTATCCTTTAGACACTTGGGCTACCAGGGGGCCATTCGCCTAACGGAAATGCTTTGGAAAACGCTAACGCTTACGATTTTATTTCGTTATTTCTAGCCGTCTGGGGTTTTCAAATGCCTCGCGCTCTTTTTTTTTCTTTTGAATTGGTAATAATAATTTAAAAAATATGAGTGTGAGGTATTTGAAAAACTCAGGAGGCTAGAAATAATAAAATGAAATCGTACGCGTTAGCGTTTTCCAAAGCATTTCCGTTAGGCGTATGGCCCCCAGAAGCACTTATCACTTATGCGGTGTTATCATAAGCTCCAGTAAATGTGCCTTAATGCAATTATGCAAATCCGCATTTAAAGAATAAACCCTCATTACTAGTGTTCTGGTCATAATTACGTAGTGAGAACTAGCCAGAACCTACCACGTAGGACTACTTTTATATATTGGGTGTTTACGACTGCCGATGTTGCTTAAGTCATGCCTTCTGGTGTAGCAGCTAGGTTGAGCAGCGGCATGACTGTGTCAATGACGATGACCACTCAACATCAGAGGACCAAGCACAATTTTTTATAGCTATGTAACGTAATGTATCATCATCATCAAATGTATGGAAAATACCAGTTTGTTTTTACGTCTGGCAGGAAACTTTGACGATGCGATTTGTTTACGGAGCTGTCAAAATTCGTGCTTGGGCATCTGATGGCCCTTCTCATTTGTCTTCGAAGGCAATAAAACAATGCATGGATATGCATGAGATCATAAACTTGGTGACTTTGACTATGACCTCATGTTATGCTATTGACAGTGATATGCACGCTGTCCATGTTTACCGTCACCACCAACCATAGTTGTGACTGTAACTCGCTAAATACACCATCACGGCGCTGTGCTTGTCACCATCAGCACCAACCATGGTTGTGGCTGTGACTGTAACTTGCTATAGACAATGATGTGTTTGATAATATCGGTATGGTTGGATGGGCAGCGCAGGCCGCGCTGCTGATCCTGACCACGTCGGTGGTGACCACCATCACGGCGTTGTCCATGTCCGCAATCAGCACCAACGGAGTCATTAAAGGAGGTAAGTACTCGCTCATCTTGCTATTTTCTCATAAATCATCATCATCAGCCTCTTTTATGTCCCCACTGCTGGGGCACAGGCCTTCCCTATGGATGGAATAGGGAGATTGGGCCATGACCCACCACGCGGGCCCAGTGCGGATTGGCGGGTGCTAACGATTGCAGATGCAACCGGGACCAACGGCTTAACGTGTCTTCCGAAACACGGAAGAACTCGAGATAGAAATTTTTGGTCACCCATCCAATGACCGACCACTGCGAAAGTTGCTTAACTACAACGATCCCAGCCGAACGCGCTAACCACCTGCGCCATCGAGCTCCTCTCTTCTCATAAATAAGCCATGGCAAATGTTTGCGCTGATGTTGTGTTAATGGAGTCCGTTTTTACACACTGTTACAGTGTAGAGGTAGAGCTGTTAAAATCTGCCCAGTACCCCTAGCACGAACCAATATCGAATTCGTATCGTTAGCGAATCCGAAATGTCATTGTCAAATGTGTACTGATTTTTAGTTCGCGTTACGTACTTTGTGCCGCTGCTGTTCAACTTTCCATACAAAATTTGACATTGACATTTCGGTTTGCAAACTATTCGAATTCGATAATGGTTCGTGCTAGGGGTGCTGCTTGCGAGAAATAATATGCTTTGGTGGAGCGACAAATCCATATTGCTATTGGAACGAAACAATATTTAGGGCCTACTCTGCCGACGCGGATGAATCTCTAAACGGGGATCCCGCGGCTTCGCGCTAAGCAGCTTAGAGGGTATTCGCAGGGTTTTTTAGCGGATATTATGCCGTAAAGCGCCCGTAAGGGTTACGGGGTCCTCAGTGGGCAGCCACTGCTGGGGCTCGTAAGGCTTGCGGGAGCCAGGTGTGAGGTCTGTTCGGCGGTGTGCCTCTTAAAGGCGCTGTCGTCTGTGAATAGTATTTTTTGCCTGCGTATAAAAAAAAGGGCCTACTCTGTCACAAGCAAGCTCAAGTCATCTGCCTGGTGCAGACATAAATGCAAGTCTTTGTAAATGAAGCGTGTTCTGTCAGCTAATAAGTAAATAAAGAAAGCCTAAAAAACTGTAAGGTCATTAGAGAACTTTGTATAGTAAAAACGCGATCTATGTTTTAGAGATTTTGTTTTAAATTCTAACGACTGCATTCAGAAACATTAACTAACTTTGAAATCACGATTTTTCTTTTCTATAATAATAGAATACGACAACACGTGACTCAATGCAGAAATACATTTAATTTACGCCTATCAGACTTTAAGCAATTTACTAATAAATTATTATCCTACTTATATTATAAATGTATAAGTTTGTATATTTGGTACTCAATCACGCAAAAACTACTGAAAGGATTTGGATGAAATATTGGTACGCACCTAATTTACGACCTGTCCCCGTAGCATGAGCGTCACAATTAACATTATATCACGTTTTTATCGCTTCTAACTGTCAAACTCTATTGACAATTGAGCGCGATAAAAACGCGTTATATATCATTTCGCGGTGCTAATGCTAGGGGGGCTGGATTGTAACATAGAATTTTAACTTTTCATTACGGTCTTGATTTGGGATTTTGCAAAAAAATCAAGTTTACGCGGACGAAGTCGCGGGCAATCGCTAGTTATTTCATAAAGCCCGTGAAGTCCTAGCGCTGTAAAGCTTTTTAAGGAAATAGCAAAATGGTTATTCGACATCACAGGAGACCGTAGAGCTGGCAGCTACCTCGTACAAAGAATTAGTCTAGCTATCCAAAGGGGGGACGCTGCCAGTATCTTCAGAACCTTGCCTAAAGGGACTCCTTTTAATAATGTATTTTAGTTATTATATTTTTTTTATATCTTTAAAGGTTTTTTGTTATAAATATCTTAGATAGTATTACAATAAATATTTTTTCATAAATGTCTGTATTATGACCATCCAGGTGGCACGTATTACATGATATCCCGGTCGCTTGGGCCGGAGTTCGGGGGCTCTATCGGCCTCATATTCTCTATGGCCAACGCCGTCGCATGCGCCATGTACGTAGTCGGCTTCGGCGAGTCCCTCATCACACTCATCCCGGAGTCCGCCTACATGGTCAGCAAGAGTTGGGTAAGTCGTACTAGCATACAAGTATACTTGAGCACCCAGTTTTTTTCTTGTTTAAGAGGCTTAGATTTTGTGTTCGATTGTGACGATAAAAATGTAATAATTTATCACACTAATATTATAAAGGCGAAAGTTTGTGAGTATATGTTTGTTACTTCTTCACGTCTAAGTTTGTTACGTCTTCACGGTTGGAGCCGCCTGGCCGATTTTAATAAAATTTGGTATAGAGTTAGCTGACACCCTGGATTAAGTTACCCATAGGCTAAGTTTTACTGCGGGAAAATATCCCTAAGAAACCGCGGGTAACGCTTTGGGGCAGAGTATATATATATACTAGCTGACCCAGCGAACTTCGTACCGCCCTAAAAAAATAGGGGTTGTCCAGCGGACAAAATTGTGAATCTAAACCATTCTCAGATCCCCTTGAACACACACAAAAAATTTCATCAAAATCGGTCCAGTCGTTTAAGAGAAGTTCAGTGACATACACACTCACAGAAGAATTATATATATAAAGATATATGGCAAAATTTTTGCAGAACATTTTTTTTTCGATCCAAGAATGGAGATATTTTTAAAGTAGGCAAATTTGTGCCCTCTTTAAAACCCTATCCCCCGTCAGTAGTAGACAGCTGGCGCGGCGAAGGAGAGGAAGCATAACCCTCTCTTTCTACGGCGCGGCGAAAATGTATGCCTGCGTCTGCTGTTTCGTTTAGGCGGCACCGGGCGCTTGCGCGAATGTTCCTGTGAGTTTATGTTAAAGCCATGCGCATCTATGGATGGTGACAGCTGATGGCTCGGCCGACTGTGTACTGGCCACACTGCTGTGTATACGTAAAATTCGTGTATATAAAGTATTACTGATAATTAAAGCAATTCGTGCAAAATTAATCCCTAACCATTCCAAAATACTAAAAATGCACAACGTTAATATTCAAGTTTTCACTTCTGCCGGCACTCCCGGAGTACAACCCTTCGTTTTATTATTATTAGAAGAAGAAGTTTTAATTTAAACCGCATGTCATTAAATTCATGTTGTAGCATTTCCAATTATGCATAATAAATGTTAAAAGATTCGTAAAAATGTTCATGCGCTAATACTAATGAAATCTGTAATTATATATGAGCTTAAGAAGTCGATTGTATATCTCTCTCTAATATTGCAAATACAATACTTCTATAGTTATATATATTTACATTGTGGGTTACCTACAATGCGAAGAGATGGCGCTGCCTAGCAGCCTAAGGCTAGAGAAATTTCGACACGGTCATCAGGGCCCCGGTAGCATAATAGTCAGTGCATTCGCCCGGATATCAGGGTGTGGGCTCGAGACCCGTCTGCTGCCTGGTCCGCGTGGAATTTTTCCTAGTAATATTTTCTTTAGATTAAAGAACTTTGAGAAAGAGACCTCTCGTCGTGTCCAGCTCGGATGGACAGTGCTCGGGAAGCTAGGGAAAATCTTCGCGTCCAAATTACCTCAGTGTCTCAAGTCAAAAGTCTTTAGAAAATATAACTAGAAAAAAATCCACGCGGACCAGGCAGCAGACGGGACTCGAACCTGCACCCTGCGCAATCCGGGCGAATGCACTGACCAATTATGCTAACACGGACCGCGTCGAAATTCTTCTAGCCATTCTTAAGCTGCAAGGCAGCGCCATTTCTTCGCATTATAGGTAACCCACAATGTCAAATGAATACTTTTACTAGTATTAAACATTTGAAAGAAACATTCAAATGTCTTTGTCAATAAATAAATAAATTCAGTGCATATAACCCCGTTGATATTGTTTTATTCAATGAGTGATGTGCGTGAAAACCTAAGAAACAACTAATTCTTCTATGTTGACTCTAGGACCAAGCGATCTACGGCTGAACTTTTCTTTCTTATCTTTCATTAATAATTTCTGGATGAATCACGCATTATTCATCATTTTGTAAATACGTATAATAATTCCATCTGTACTGAAAATCACTATTTCAGAGTGCTGGACACTTACCGGCATTTCTCTTTATTCTGTTATTTTTTTTATTTTCATTACTTTTTCTCCGATTTTATTTACTTTTAGGCATAATTTTATTTATTTATTAACTAATTCTTCTATGTTGACTCTAGGACCAAGCGATCTACGGCTGCATTACCATAGTACTCCTCACCGGCATCGTGATTGTGGGCATGGAATGGGAGGCGAAGGCGCAGATAGTGTTGCTGGTGATCCTCCTGGCCGCCATCGTTGACTTCCTGATCGGCTCCGTTGTAGGACCGAAGAGTGACGTAGAACACGCGCAGGGATTTGTTGGATATAATAGTGAGTACATATCTTCCTAATATATATAAATTACGCGTCACTTCACCCGAGGTGCTCGATGGCGCGGGAGGTAAGCGCTTTCGGCTGCGATCGTTGAAGTTAAGCAACTTTCGCAGTGGTCGGTCATTGGATGGGTGACCAAAAATCTTCTATCACGAATTCTAACGGCTGCATCTGCAGTGGTGGGTCATGACCCAATCTCCCTGTTTCATCCATAGGGAAGGCCTGTGCCCCAGCAGTGGGGACATTAATAGGCTAATGATGATGATGCAACAGTTGTTTAATGGGGGGTATTATCTCCTCATTAAACAAATTTTAACACTCCTACTAGGGACGACTCTCAAATGTGACCAACTGTGACAAGGACGTGGAAGGGAAAAAATTACGAAACTGGTATGACGTAGTTATACATATTTTGATTTTTAAACATTTAATTGCTATGTGTATAAATCTAATGATAATTTTACAAATAAAATTTCTACGCGGACCAGGCAGCAGAAGGGACTCGAACCCGCACCCTCCGCTCGGATGTACTGACCATTACGATACCGCGACCTTTATTGTCCCTGACGAATTTTCTCTAGCATTTCTTAGGCTGCAAGGCAGCGCCATTTCTTCGCATTGTAGGTAACTCACAATGACAATTGAATACCTTTACAATTATTAAACAATCAGGGCCGTGGTAGCATAATTGGTCAGTGCATTCGCCCGGATTGCGAAGGGTGCGGGTTCGAGTCCCGTCCGCTGCCTGGTCCGCGTGGATTTTTTTTCTAGTAAAAACTTTTCTTTAGTTTTAAACATCTAGCACTTAAATACTTAAAAAGAAAAAAAAACATAACTGTAATTGCTATTTCTTCTGTCAAATGTTTAATACTTGAAAAAGTATTAATTTTGACATTGTGGGTTACCTACAATGCGAAGAGATGGCGCTGCCTTGCAGCTTAAGGCTAGGAAAATTTCGACGCGGCCATCAGGGCCGTGGTAGCATAATTGGTCAGTGCATTCGCCCGGATTGCGAAGGGTGCGGGTTCGAGTCCCGTCCGCCGCCTGGCCCGCGTGGATTTTTTTCTAGTAAAAACTTTTCTTTAGATTGAAACATCTAGCTGTTAAATGCTTAAAAAAATTATAAGTATTAAACATTTGAAAAAAGAAATAACAATTGTACTTATATCTCTTTTTTTTTAATCATTTAACTACTAGATGTTTAAATCTAAAGACAATTTTACTAGTGCGACATACTTTATGTATGACCCCCAATAAGAAGCCAAACTCGCGATGATATGATAAAAAACTGTTTAATACTACAGTTATTATTACTCCAATAATGTCTTAATGTTATTATATAATTAGAATCAAATTATTTTTGTTTTTTCTAGTAAAAATAAAAAAAAACTATAGAAATATAAATGTAGCAGTTAAATGCTTAAAATAAATGTAAACAGTGTTCTTGTTCAAAGTATATTTAATTGATGGTCACTGATGTAATTGTATTTTTGTATGAAATATTATTAAATACGTTAATGTACAAATAAATTGCAAATACGCTTGCAGGGTGTCACATGTACTATGTAATAGTTAACTAAATTGTCATCTATTAACCATGTGACTATGCAATAAAGGATTTGAATTTGAAATTTTCATTGCATCATTGTTTCAGTGAGTATCTTCTACGACAACCTGTGGTCGGACTACCGTTTCTTCGAGGGTGTTGAGCACAACTTCTTCTCCGTGTTCTCGATATTCTTCCCGGCCGCCACGGGCATACTTGCCGGGGCCAATATATCCGGTGATTTGAAGGTATGTATTGATAGAAATTGTGGCGATTGCGTAATGTTTTAACCATATTACCTCAATGCTTTTGCTTTTCGGCTGAAACCGTAATATTTATTATTATAAAAAAAAAACCAACACACACACCAATTAGCCTAGCCCCAAAGTAAGCACTATAAGGCTTGTGTTATGGGATGCTAAGGTAACGGATAGAATACATATACTGTACATATATAAGTATATTTATTTATTTATACTTTATTGCAAAAATGAGTGTACAAGTGGCGGACTAAATGCCATTAGGCATTTTCTACTAGTGTCAATATCCGTGACAATTTAACAATAGTAGTTCATGCGACTGTCATATAAGAAGGTGTGTTATACTCGAGTCAACATATAATCGATCGATAAACAGACTCTCGTGTTTTAATACCTAAATCATATGCAGATGCATACTCTACTTTCTCTTCACTCATAGGAATAATTGAAATTAAATAAAGTAACAAAAATGTATTTTGCAAAGCTTTTCTGATATTTTAAAAACAAAACACGACCGGCAGAAATTTGTATGGAAAGAAAGAAATATATTTATTTGGGACCCAAAAAGATTAATATATAAAAATAAAATAAAACAACAAAATTTTATCTCAAATCGGTCCCAACCCAGCATAGTGCACGGGAAGCGAAGGGAAGCGCGAGAAATTAATTTCGAATGAGTGCGCCCTGTTTTTTATTTACACTCAGTTCAATATCATAGTCTAATTTAGAAAATAAAAATTATTAAACGATACAGATGGCAGTTTCATTTTTACTTTATGTATGTGCGTTTATCTTCGTAATTCGAATATTTCGACATGACACATGAGTGTAGATGAAATATAATACTTGATATTATTGATTCCCGCTTTCTAGTAACGTCAACATTAAAGTCTGTTGCACTTTATATAACAAAAGGAGAAAAAGTAGATACTAAGTTGTTATAATAGATAAATCAATAAATAACGTTTTTGATTCTTGTTCATTCATATTTTTGCGTGTTAAATAAATACTAATTTATAAAAAAAAATGCAGTCAAACTTTAAAGCCCCAATTGGACCGATGCTAGGTGCGATTCTGGCAAATTATTTGACAATGAACAGTTAAACTTATGCTCAATAAAAGGAGACATAGTTTTAACTTAAGTAAATCATACCTGAATTATGGCCATTTGTTTGACTCTTTCATTAATATGTGTGTAAAGATAACGCGTTCGATTTGACCTTTATTAAGAATTTTCTATTTATAAATAAATTATCCCAAAGAGATAGGCATATACCATTGTCGACTTTATTGTAAATCTTTTTAAGGTGCACAATACTGCGTACACTTTTTTGATCTATCTCGTAGGGTTCAGCCAGCGTTTGCAATGTAAGCGCAAAAAATATGTTTATTTACGACCTTACATTTAAACCTCTAAAATTATCAGTGTTTCTCTACTACATTATGCATGTATTATACATATGAAACTTCGTCTTGAATCACTCTATCTATTAAAAAAACCGCAACAAAATCCGTTGCGTAGTTTTAAAGATCTAAGCATACTAAGGACATAGAGACAAACAGCGGGAAGCGACTTTGCTTAATACTATGTAATGATTCATTATTTATTCCTCACAGGATCCTCAGAAGTCCATCCCCAAGGGTACTCTTCTAGCCATCCTTCTGACTACGCTCTCATACTTACTAATTGGAGTAATTGCTGGATGGACTGTGTTAAGGGACGCGTCTGGTTCTGTTGCCGATCTTGCGGCTAATAATTTTACTGCGTGTGCCGCCACACATTCCTGTGCTTATGGCCTGCAGAATAGTAATGATGTAAGTAAACAATTACACTACATTATGTTTTGATTTTTTAAGCATTTAACTGCTAGATGTTTAGGGGCCGTTCAAGTATTACGTAAGCAGATTTATTACAATTATTTACCCACTCCTCCCCCTCGTCAGCAAAAGTAAGTAAAGCTCTTACGCCTCCCCCCCATCCTTACATAAACATTGGTACCTATATGCATTTTTCTTTTAATGTATACTATTTTTTTATTGATTCATGAGCTTCATGACCAGCAGTACTTAAAAAGGCTTAATCGATGATGCTGACGTAATCACCATCTCTACCCCCCACCCCCCCAAGTCATCAAACATAAGCAAAGCAGAGACCCCCCTGCCCCCCTATAGTGCTTACGTAATACTTGAACAGCCCCTTAAATCTAAAGAAAAGTTTACCAGTAAAAAAAAATCACGCGGACCAGACAGCAGACGGGACTCGAAACCGCACCCTTCGCTATCCGGGCGAGGGCGGCATTCGCATATGGTCCGCGTGGATTTTTTTCTAGTAAACTTTTCTTTAGATTTAAAATTACACTATATTACACTACACTACTTATGGCTAAATTACACTACAGTTGAAGCATATTAAGGCCTTATTATATTATAATGCATATAGCCTTAATATGTTTCTACTGGAGTGGAGTACTACGTGGAATTAGTTAGAAATAAAGGCTCCCTGCTCGTTCCCCGTAGGTGAATAGGTGATAATATGCAGCCTATATGTTGACCCGACTTCTTAATAATATTCGTGCCAAATTTGAAGTGAATCCATGCAGTACTTTTTGATTTTATCCTGGACATACATACAGACAAACAGACAAAAATCTAAAAACTCTATTTTTGGCCTCGGTATCGATTGTAGATCACATTCTAAGTATTATTTTAAAATATTCAATGTACAGTTTTGACTTACCTACCTTTTTATTATATGTATAGATTTAATTGGAATTGTGTTCCCCCGCAGGTGATTCGCCTAGTGTCGGGGTTCGGGCCGCTGATATACGGCGGGTGTTTCGCAGCCACTCTCTCTTCCGCACTCGCCTCTCTCGTCTCCGCGCCTAAAGTGTTTCAGGTATGTTGACATATACCTCGAGAGAGGTAAGTTAGAGATATGGCCGGATAGGATCCTTTAAAAGAGGCGTGAAGAAGCAACATGAAGGCCGGCAAGGTGAGGATGGCTGGTGTGGCAGGTAGAACTGCTGTATCAGCTATCTTCACGTCTGGACTTCACCGTCACTTGAAATCAGGTGGGGTGGAGTCATTTGTCGGACCTATCTATTAAAAACAATAAAAATTGTGTGCACTGACCACACATTAAAATACCTAACATTAGGCGGTGCATAAGGTATAGGGGAATGGAGCAGCGCACGCATCATTCATATAAATACACATATATATGAATGCTGGCAGCTACCTCGGACAAAGAATTAGTCTAGCCATTCAAAGGGGGAACGCTACCAGTATCTTCGGAACCTTTCCTAAAGGGACTCCTTTTAATAATGTATTTTAGTTATCATAAGGTTTTTTAGTTATAAATATCTTACTATTTGTTCTTTAGTTAAATGTACATACATGTATATATTGTGTTTTATCAATACTATTTACCTCTAATTTAACTAAAAATAAAACATACACACACACACACACACACGCACACGCACTCGCACACACACGCACACACACACACACACACACACACACACACACATACACACACACACACACACACATACACACACACATATATATATATGTATGTATTTATTGTTCTCGTGTGAAGCTCGTAACGTTGCTACATGCTCGTCGGGAAGATCACACACATAGTCGTGTGACGCTCGTGACAAAAAGCGCGAAGGATTTATGTGACGTTACAGCAACTTCTTTGATAATTAAGAAATTTATTCTCACAAGTCTAAAATTATATGAGTTCCATAAAACGCCATCTGAGGAGCTCGATAGCGTTAGTTGTTAGCTCGTTTGGTCTGAGTGGATTTTTGGGCGTGTGGCTTTGGAATTTTAAAAGAAGTAGAGCCCAGTGAATTATCCCCTCCAATTGGAGAAAGGCAGCTACATCTACAATCAAGACCTAGATGACGTCAGTGGTTAGCGCGTTCGATCTGCTATCGTGGGAAATAGGTAACTTTTGTAATGGCCACTCTTTGGATGGGTGGCCAGAATTGTATCTCGAGCTCATCCGTGCTTCGTAATTTCGCTAAGCCGTTGGTCCTGGCCGCATCTGCAGTCGTTAGCACTCCTCAATAGATGAAGAATACTCATTAATCAAATATGTCTCGTAATCTGATTTTTAGATTTTCCATCTGTTTTTATTATAGCATTAGGGTATACTACAATAGTAAGTAATATAGTAAATTCTAATTATGACAATTCATCAACTCCAGTCCTCAAGAGACAGGATTATGCAGTTTGGGGATTATCGTTAAAATAAAGTTTTGTATATTATGTATCTTTTGTTACTCGTAAGTGAATAAATATTATTTTTTTCCAAAGTTCATTTTTATTATTATTATTCGTGATTTTATAGATTAAATAAAATTTAATACCTATTTTAATTTCTTATACATAGATATTATATAAATTCTAAATTGTAATAGTCAGTTATGGTACTTATTAGCGTTTTTATGTAATAAAAGGTGTCACACTCCCTCTGTAATTTATTGATTGTTGTGCCCGTCGGGGTCCATGATTGTGCATATTATTTTATAACATCTTGTATAACTTATGGAAAGCAATAAAACATTCAGTATTGAATACATATTATTATTATTATTTGTATACAGGCATTATGTCAGGACAAGCTCTACCCGTACCTGGAGTACTTCGCGAAGGGGTACGGCGCCAACAACGAGCCCGTGCGCGGGTACGCGCTCACATTCATCATCGCCACCGCTTTCATACTGATGGGTGCGTACTGACGGCAATACTGACAATAACCCATCAATATTCCGACATGCAGGGGTACGGCGCCAACAACGAGCCCGCTTATTCCTTATCGCCACCGCATGGGTGCGTACTGACGACAATACTGACAATAGTCCATGGATATTTCGGCATGAATGGGTACGGCGTCAACAACGAGACAACACATTCCTTATTGCCACCGCCTTAGTACTGATGGGTGTGTACTATTGACAATACTGACAATAATCCATCAATATTTTGACACGAAGGGGTACGGCGCCAACAATGAGCCCGCGCGTGGATAGGGGCATACATTCCTTATACTGATGGGTGCGTACTGAAGATAATAATAAATCGTCATTTATTTCAGACAAGCTGTGCGTGGTCTCTGCCTAAGGTCCAAAAAAAAACAATTTTAATAAAAGATACCTAAAATATTACTTAATATTAATTATTTCACGAAAAGAACGAACCTAACCGATGTTAGCTATCAGAACGTCCGTTTACTGAATTCCAGATCGCCGCTGCGTAAGCTGCATGTGTATGTTGAATGGGAATATAGATATGATCATAACTATATGTGTACCCAATTTCATCCAAATCCGTTCAGTAATAGTAGTAGCTATTAGCCGCAGCCACAGGCCGCCTCTGTCTATGAGACTCTTAAATTGGCAAAAAACATAATATACATCCATTTTTAGTCAAGTTTCTTCTTCCTAGGCGAACTACAGCTACGCTGAAATTCTCATGAGGCATTTACTATCCGCCTTAGTCCAAAACGCGGACTGAAGATAGTCATTATTTACACCTAATACTGTCTATTCCTTCTTTTTAAGAGGGGAGACGTGCAAGGTTTTTTCCATTCAAACGTTCTCGACTGATTCCTCCTTGATTTTTATCACTAAAGAATTGATTTTCATACATAAAATATAATTTTACTCATCCTATGCTCCTATGTTTTCTTTTTTTCGATAACTTGTGTTTCAAAGAAATTAGAAGCTCTCGAAAAAGGCCAAAAATAAACAAATTTTTATCACCACTAAAGACGTTTAGTGTGGAAATTTAATAAGCACTTATTATTCTTTGTGTAAAATTTCTTTCACATATATTTTGGTATTTGCCAATGCGTGACAGCAATAGTATTTACAAATACCTATTTCTCAAATGTCTCTCAGCTCGCGTCCGTCTCTTAACAAGAAAAAGGGACAGTATCACTTTTAAACCAGTTTTAACTTTAGTCAATGTTTTGTTATAAGTCTGTAAGTGTTTAATAGATGAACTCCAATCATGTTTTACCAGCATGTAGAGTGGAAAAATTCGTAACGTATTTTTTAATGAAAAATATTATGCGACTGAGTTTTTTCACATGTGTATGTGTTTCCCAACGAAGGAGGAGCTCGATGGCGCTAGTAATTAGCGCGTTCGGCTGCGATCGTTGAGTTAAACAATTTTCGCAGTGGTCGGTTATTGGATGGGTGATCAAAAATTTACTAACTCGGGCTCCTGTGTGCTTCGGAAGGCACGTTTAGTGGTTGGTCCCGACTGCATCTGCAGTTATAAGCACCCACCAATTTGCACTGAACACTTGTGGTGTGTCATGACCCAATCTCACCTATTACATCCAAAGGGAAGGCCTGTGCCTCAGCAGTGGGGACATTAATAGGCTGATGATAATGTGTTTTCAGGTGGATTGAACCAGATCGCGCCTTTGATTTCCAACTTCTTCCTGGCAGCCTACGCACTCATCAACTTCTCTACCTTTCACGCCAGCCTCGCCCGGCCCGTGGGGTGGAGACCTACATTCCGGGTACTATACGTTAGACTAGACTATAGTATATTACACACATTACACTACATTGTATTATACTACAGTATAGCACACTTTATTTTTATTTTATATACTAGCTGACCCAGCGAACTTCGTATCGCCATAAAAATATGGAATGTGGGAGGGTGAAAATTTAGGATTGTATGTATTTTTGTATGATGTATCATAAAAAAATAAAAACAACAAAAATTGTCCAAAGAAATAAAAAGCACCGTTAATATTTAGGAGGATGAAAAATAGATGTTGTCCAATTCTCAGACCTACTGAATATGCATATAAAATTTCACGAAAATCGGTCGAGCCGTTTCGGAGTAGTTCAATTACGCACATTGTGACGCGAGAATTTCATATATTAGATGGATAAGCTACAAGGTTTCTAAAATATCATCATTGTAATATACTGAATGTATATGTTTTTCAGTTATACAATATGTGGCTATCCCTTTTGGGCTCGATGCTGTGTGTGGCGATAATGTTCGTGATATCATGGATCACGGCGCTGATCACCTTCGCTTCTCTACTCGCTCTCTACCTGCTCGTCTCATACAGGAAGCCCGGTGAGATCATACACATAGATAGGCAGACACATACACATAATGTTAGTGATATCTTGGATCACGGCGCTGATCACCTTCGCCTCTCTACTCGCTCCCTACCTGCTCGTCTCATACAGGAAGCCCGGTGAGATCATACACATAGATAGGCAGACACATACACATAATGTTAGTGATATCTTGGATCACGGCGCTGATCACCTTCGCCTCTCTACTCGCTCCCTACCTGCTCGTCTCATACAGGAAGCCCGGTGAGATCATACACATAGATAGGCAGACACATACACATAATGTTAGTGATATCGTGGATTACGGCGCTGATTACCTTCGCCTCTCTACTCGCCCTCTACTTGCTGTCTCCTTCTCCTCTCCTACAGTATGCCCGGTGACATCATACACATAGACAGACAGACACATACACATAATGTTCGTTATATCGCGGATAACGGCGTTGATCACCTTCGCCTGTCTTCTCGCCCTCTACTTGCTCTCTCCTTCTCCTCTCCTACAGTACTACAGTATGCCCGGTGACATCATACACATAGACACACACACACACACACACACGCAAACACATACACTCATACAAACACGCAAACACATACACTCTTACACAAACACACATTCATCTATCTAACTACACCACCATACTCCTTTGTATGACCTATCCGTTGACCGAGATATTGTCCCGTCTTTTTGTTCTGTCCACATCATAATCCACATAAGTGTCTTGCTCGTTACTTTCAAAAGTCATAAAAATTGGATAAACAGTAAACAGACGAAATAATAGTTATTTGTTAAGCATCGTTGAAAAGTTTATTTTGTGTCGCGAGTACTTGTATTGAAAACTGAGCAAACGAAAGAAATGTAGGAGTGTAATGGTTTTATCGTTAAAAAATGTAGTATTTATGTAGCGCTAATAATGTAACACACACAGCGAAGATTTCAAAAATTCCATACAATATTAGTCTTGATATTACAGACGTTAACTGGGGTTCAACAACGCAAGCGCAGACCTACAAGACTGCGCTCTCGGCAGTGCATCAACTCAATAGAGTATCTGAGCACGTCAAAAACTATAGGTTTGTGCTGTATTTTTAATCTGTGAATGCTATGTATATGTCTAGTTGGTCACCTTTTCTTACATAAATAAATAATTTATTGGTAACAAAATGTCATTATTTTAGTTTGTTTTTTATAGATAGGTCCGAGGAATGAATCCGCCCCACCTGATGTTAAGTCCAGACATGAAGATAGCTGGTACAGCAGTTCTACCTGCCACATCACCTTGCCGGCCTTCATGTTGCTTCTTCACGCCTGCCTCTTTTTTAACAAGTAGTTATTATTGGGTCTTATACCGCCTTATTCCAAAACGCGGACTAAAGTTAGTCTTGGTTTAAACCCGATGCTGTTTCTCTCTTCTTTTTAGCAAGCAAAAGTGACAGCATCATTTATAAACCAGGTTTAACTTTAGTCAACGTTTTGTAATAAGGCAGATAGTATTTTGTTTTTAACCCATAATGACTATAGTCTCTTATAAAACGGACAAATGATGTTATTATGAAATTAATAGAAAAACTGCTGTACTTGTATACTTTAGAAAACGCTAGTAATTTGATAGCTACCAGTAGCTATATTATAAATTCTCCGTTTAGTATTATTTTTCATCCATAAATTTACGATAACATTTTGCATTTTTACTATTATTATTTATTTCATTTTGTAGGCCACAGATATTGGTGCTGACAGGGTTCCCGGCTGAAAGACCTATTCTCACAGACTTTGGTTATTTGCTAACGAAAGGTCTATCTTTGATGTTGTGCGGACACATATTGCAGGTGAGGCTTAGTTATGCATAATCCATACTATAATAACTGCAAAAGTGTGTCTGTCTGTAACCTCTCCACGTTTAACTGCTCAACCGATTTATATGAAATTTGATATAGAGGAATTTCAGTTTGAGAGAAACTAATTTTTTCACGTAGACAAAGTTGTGGGTAATTACTTGTTAGTATATTTACTTCGTTACAAACTATGGTTTTGATTATTTAATTGATATAGTTTATTGTCGTTTTTGCTTGAAATAAAAGGGATGCAAATCGATACATAAATTAACACTTTGCTTAAAAGACTTGTTATCGAGACTTATGTCTTTAATATATGTACATACCTACATAACGTGCTCGAGAAACCTAGCAGAAAAATAGCAACAAAAGAGTGATTCAATTAAAATTCTGTTCTGTATATAATATTCAGTACTCTTGGTGTTTTTAAATTAAAGAACTTTATTTTAAAATCGATTTTGGAAAAGTATTTATAGTTAATGTAAATGTTTTGTACGGTAGGGCCAAGTGAGTCACCGCGGTCGCGAAGCTCTGACGTCACGCGCCTATGCTTGGTTCACTAGAAGAAAGATAAAGGCCTTCTACTGCCTCGTGGACAACGCCGGCTTCAAGGACGGGGCCAGTGCTCTCATGCAGGTATATAAACAACTAACAATACCTCACAAACTAGCAGATACATCAATCAAATTGATCAACTTATTGTGATTAAATTTTTAATTTTTTGGGCATGTAACTGCTCGATATTTAAATCTAAAAATAATAATTCTAGAAAAAATTCCACGCGGACCACGGGGCCATTCGCCTAACGGAAATGCTTTGGAAAACGCTAACGCTTACGATTTCATTTTGTTATTTCTAGCCGCCTGAGGTTTTCAAATGCCTCGCGCTCTTTTTTTTCTTTTGCAATGTTACCATTGCAAAAGAAAAAAAAAGAGAGAAAATTATTATTTTTAGATTTAAATATCGAGCAGTTACATGCCATGTTATTACTAACAAGATTAAAGAAAATGAGCGCGAGGTATTTGAGAACCTTCGGCGGTCAGAAATTACAAAATGAAATCGAAAGCGTTAGCGTTTTCCATAGCATTTCCGTTAGGCGAATGGACCCCAGGCAGCAAACGGGACTCGAACCCGCACCCTTTGCTATCCGGGCGAGTGCATTCGCATTTTTGCATTTTTCTAGTAATATGTTCTTTAGATTTAAACTTATTTTGATATAAGGAAATCTACGAATTCTCATCGCAGAGCTGTCTATTATGCAATGGGGAAGAAAACGCAAAGCTCATTACAGATGGCGCTTTGGCCGTTTGGCCCATAACGAGCAACCTGTCACTTCGAGGCTGCGTTCTAAAGCTCTGAGTGCAACTTTTTACCCCGAAGGTTCAATTTGTAACTTATGTCAAGATTGACATTTGTGTCCAGGTGCAAGCGCGTAGGTTAGAAAATATCGTGTACAAGTCTATCGGAATTGGTCGGTTTTCCTTGTGATTGACAGCTGTCTAAATTTATTGTTATGGGCCATGCGACACCTGCGCCTCTGGCGGGAAAATTGGCAGTTTTCTTTCCCATTTTTGAACCACTTACATTGGATATAGTTCAGTATCAATCGCATCGTGCGTAATCGGCACTGACAGAACCACAACACTATCAATAGGTTCTTTTACTATGTTCATTCCCAAGACCACTTGGATTTTATCTTTCCTAAATATTTGCAAAAAAATCTGCAATACTTTAAAGTTTTGCACGTTTTTGCAAAGTAGACGATATTTCTCCAGAAGCTCACTTCAGTCCAAGCTTACGGTAAGCCTTACCTTATACATGAATATTGTCGTCAGGCTAGCGGACTTGGTAAACTGCGACCCAATATCCTGATGATGGGCTTCAAAGAGGACTGGCAGACTTGCGACCGAGAGGACCTGGCTGCCTACGTGGAGCTTATGCAGTCAGTATTCTCACAACTGTTTAAAAATATAACCTAATAAAAAAACAGTATAATGCGATTCAACTATGAATAGAACCGATTGGGCGCCATATTGTGATGTCATCGCTGTCAATTCAAACCAAATAGGTAGAGTGAGCAAAAAAAATTTTTTATTTAATAAAACTTATATACTAAGGTTAATTGAGAAAAATCATCAGATTTTTTTAATAACATTTATTTACTAAGATTGAGAAGAAACACCAATTTTTAATAATATTTATTTATTAAGACTGTGAGAAAAAACATTAATCAGAATCTAGCTCTTCGATTCCGCTCATCTCTGCATTACCGCCGGAGTAGTTATGAATAATCATGCACTATTACTAGGTCACATACGAACACGCATCCTTTATGTAAACGAAAGTTTTTTTTTCTCTTTATTTCATTTAAAGGACTTTTATCTTTACAGAAAGAAGTTTGAAGAAGGAAAGTTTCAAATTGAGTTTCTGAACGCAACTTAAAGTGACATTTGACGATTTAGGATATCAACCATTCATGGCCAAAGCTCATTAAGTGAAAAAGAATATCAACCGAAATTAATTATCAATATTTGTTATTGTTTGTTTGCAAACGTTTGGTTTTGATTTGATATTAGAACATAATGTTCGATAATAGGTTATTCCTTTTGTATAGGTTTTATTTCTTTTTTTACCAATATAATTTGATGTGTAACATTTGAAACCAAATGTTACACATCATACGCGACTACTGTAAGGCTCGTTCGTTTTTTTTCGTCATCTTCACTTGTATCGTGTTGCGTTTCATGCAGTAAGGCCCTGGACATGCACATGGGTCTAGCGCTATTGCGCGTAGAAGGCGGCCAACGTGCAGACGGTGCTTTGGACGACGATCTGCTCGCATATTTAGACGATTTGAACGCTCATAGTGCAGACCATACGCGTGAGTATACCCTTTTGGGCATAAATTTATATACCTAATACTTACTACCTAATATGCTTCTTTTACAACACGTACTAAAAAAAGCGTATGCGTCTCGGGACGCATGACAGAAGTGATAATTTAAACTAATCTAAGCGGCGCTGCGGGTTAGAGTGAGAGAGAGGAGGAGTATCTACACCAGAAAGTGGTTAAACTAAATGAGCACAGGAGATTGGAATGTGAAAAAGGATTAAAGGGTGATTGGAGGGTAAAAGCGATTCGGGGGATTGGTGGGTGATAGTGGAGATTGCTGGGTGATAGAGGAGGTTGCTGGTTGATAGAGGGGGTTGCTGGGTGATAATAGAGGATTAGGGGGTGATAGTGGGGATTGCTGGGTCATAAAGGGGGTTTCTGGGTGATAATAGAGGATTAGTGGGTGATAGTGGGGATTACTGGGTGAAAGAGGGGGTAACTGAGTGATAATAGAGGATTAGTGGGTGATAGTGGGGATGACTGGGTGATAGAGGGGGTTGCTGGTTGATAGAGGGAGTTGCTGGATGATAATAGAGGATTAATGGGTGATAGTGGGGATTGCTGGGTGATAGAGCGGGTTGCTGGGTGATATTAGAGGATTAGTGGGTGATAGAGGGGGTTGCTGGGTGATAACAAAGGATTGGTGGGTGATAGTGGGGATTGATGGGTGGCTCTGTTACCTGGGCGGCCTCTAGCATCTATCTCCTTGGGTGGGGGAGCGATTGCGGCAAAGGGAAGCTAGACAGACTGGTGCCGTAACGCGTTACATAATGAAGCCGTTTACCCTCCCATAAGAAGTTGTCACTTCAAAAGTCTACTGCGAAAGTTTGTTTAAATATGGTTTTACTCAAGTTTGCCGAAACCTTTACAATACCTATATGCAATAAACTTACCAATAGGCGCCATCTCTGCTTGCCCTCGTTTCTATCATCTAATAATCTCAACTAGACCACGATTTACCTTCTCGTGTTCGCGGCGTCTCACTATTGGAAAGGCCTGCGTTATCTAATATTTAACAGTTCGCCCATAGATATATTGGCGTTTTGATCGTACATATTTCATTATCGCATCGCTGAGACGAACTTTGAAAGTACATAAAAATCGTGGCACATCCATCATATCGCTACGATTATCGCTCGTGGAGGTGGCGCCATATTACACTCTACTTTGTCCAGTTAATTTTATTGGAACATAAGTAAAGTATAACAAAGCACATAAAATAAACCACAACAAATTTCATTTGATTTATTTCTAATGTATAATGATATTTATAAACTGTCCGAAATCATATTATATTGCACGTAATCACTACAGTGAAATAAATCACACTACACAAATTTTTAAAGGACTGTTCTACCTTGCATAACTTCCTCACTATCAGATGATGTAATTGTATATTTTTGTAGAAAACGCAAATGCAAGATTAAATGGAATTATCACAATAAATTTTTCAATAAACCCAAAACTTGTTATTTCCAGTTGTATTTTAAATGCGGTATGTTTTTACAAATTGATTTACTTCGGTACCTATTCAATTTTATATCTACCATGTTGTGAGCTTTAGAAATGTGTATTTAACAATTGTATTCATTGGCTTCTCGAAACTAATACTATTTGTATGTGTGTTTAAAAACCCGTGTGTACATCATTCCATGGCTTCATAACGGGAGCTTGTCCCCAGGTTCCATGGGGGACAACTTCAAGGAGTCCAAGTCTACGGAGAGTCTTAACACGCACTCCGTGGGTGAGTATTGCTTGCGACGCATTGTTCAGTGAATTCAGTGCGATTCAAACTTCATGTCGACTGTGAAGTTAGCGCAAGTCGTGGCGCAGTCAAAGAAAAGTAGGACTATAAAATAATATTTACATAGCAGGAACTCTTAAATCTGTACTCTATTCAACCTCCCCTGAGACAAAAGTCAAAAAAATCATAAGAAGGGTTTTCAATAGTTTAAAAAAGTTACATTTAAAAGACCTAAAGTAGAACTTTTTATTAGCTGCAGTAAAATGACGTTTTGTGGGTTACCGCTTTTTGAAGAAAAATAAATAGGGATGTAGCTAAGTGAGTAAGTGAATCATTCAATAAATGAGTGATCAGTTTGGTTTTATTTTAGAGATTTAATATTAAGTTGTAATGTTTTTTTATTCTATTATTATTACTTTAGTAAAGGATTGATCTTTTTCAGTGGAAGTACATCCAAAATTAAACAAAATTGTCATAACAATGTTATTTATTAATCAATCATTTTCGCAATCAGTATCGCTTCCGGTCACACTAATGACAAATCTGTCTGTCACTTCTTCTATAATATGATTGAGGTGGCACATTTTGTCTTCCTCTTTTGTAGTGTGAGACACAAAGTCACTCCACTTAGTCGGTGTCACTTTGTTGATTCCTTCTTGGAATAAAGTTTTCACTTCTTGCATTTTATATGTTTTATTATTGTTTGCGACGTGCCCCTTTACCTGAGCCCAAACCAACTCGATGGGGTTCAATTCACAGTGATAAGGGGGCAGTCTTAAAAGTCTGATACCTTTTTCAGCAATTTTGTCCACGCCATATTTCTCAGTATGATTTTGTTGTTTCACAATATCTATGAGAGTGGCTTTCACCATATTTGGTTCAAATGTAATATTTTTAGTGGTCAGCCACTCTTGAATTCGTGCTTTCGTCCACGACATATTTGGGATTGTTCCGATCTTCCTAGAATGATAGGGCGCGTTGTCCATTACGACTACTGCATTCGGCTTGAGTTTGGTTAGAATGCCGTCGAACCACCCCTCGAAACACTCTGCGTTCATTTCATCATGGTAATCTTCTGTACCTTTCTTTGCTTCAAACATAAGAAGTCCGTCGTCCAGGAAGCCTTCTTCTCCGCCTATGTGACTGATTATGAGTCGTTTGCCCTTTCCTGTGGGATTTTTTAATCCCGTATTTAGACCTAAAAATGCCTGCCGAGAAGATTTTATACTTCTACCATTCCAGGTTTTTTTTTGTAGTATGACCTGAAAGAACAAAAAATAATCATATGTTTCGACATCTAAACAAAAGGGGATCAAACATAGAAAACTAAGAATTGCCACTTACCAGCGTTGATCCAGGTCTCGTCTTGAAAATATATGTATCTTCCCTCCCTACGATATTGTTTAATTAAACGCAGGTAGCGCTGGCGCCATGATATGATATCTTGTCTATCAATAAGTACGCTCTTGCGTGATCGAGTAACGAATTTGAAATTAAGATGCTTCATAATTTTTTTCAATGTCTCTTTCGAGAAGTTGGCCTTTTGGTACAGCCTTTTATTTATATGAATAATAAATAGAATTAAGTATGATCATTATGAGTTACCTATGGAACGATTAGATTTTTTGTGAACCTAAGCACATCCCTATTGAAATTAAGCTGTCAACATTATTTTACGGAATGACATTTTGAAACGTCATTTTACTGCAGCCACGGAGCACCCCCACTAGAGTCCGCATACAAGGGCAAGCGCTTACGCCAAGCTTAAGTAGTATTTTACCTATGCGTGAGGCACGCCCACAGACGTCGCGATACATCGTTTCATTCGGTAACCGAGCGTTGGTCGAACTGCTTCTCGCGTTTTCGTGTTAAAAAACTGTAAAAAATGCCGTACTGTGCAATTAAATTGTGTGGAAAGTCGAGTACAACTTCCAGTCTTAAAAAAATGGTATTACTTTTCACTGGTTAGTTTAAATACATTACAAAAAGACAAAAATACTGTTATATTAAATTGGTGTTAATTGTATTTATTTTTTGGTGAACGCGTTGATGTCTTTTTACACTATCCCTTTCTCGCATGGGCTACATCATATATGCTATCTCGCTCTCACACCGGCACGTGTATTGCTAGTGACTCAGACGCAGCTCATGTCTCAACGCGTAAGTTTATCGATAAGTTTGTCAGCTATGGAAATTGAAAAAATAAATAAAAACTATTTATTTCATCGTATATAATAATAGATGTCATGAGTATACAACCAACAGTTTTTATTTGACTTCAAACATATCCTAATAAAATTGTGAAAACGCGAAAATTTGTATGCATATTTGTTACTCTTTCACGCTAAAACGGTTAAACGGATTTGTATGAAATTAAGTGCGCATAGTTTATGACCTAGATAAAGACATAGAATTAACGATATTAAATACCCTAGAAACACCACGAGCGCTCAAAATGTGTCCCCATCAAGAAGTACTTGAACTCCACTCAATCGCGGACCGTTGAAAAGTCAAGATGCCAAAGAGTTCCGTGAAAAAATACAGAAAAATACTAATAGTGCGTAAAGTGTAGTTTTTGCGACGGGTAGCTAATTAATGTTTTTTAATTAACGCCTTTAAAGCAAATTTTATTGTTGTAATACTTACTATAAACTGATTTAATGTAAAATATTTGTGATATTCAAATGCATGGTCGGTTATACGTCGCCCTTAGCCATCTCTTTTCTTCGCGATCTGTACCTGCTATATTGCTAACAGCGCATTCAGAATTGCGCGCGAAAAATCAAAAAAAATAAGGTCTATATTCTTTCACACATAACAATAAATCGTAAAATTTTACGAACTTGACGCATGCATTTTAATTAAGACCTTAATGCCATATGCATTAAAGGTGACTTTCAATGTTTAAATAAGGCATTATATTGTTTTTGACCACGCGATCATCTTACGGACCTCCGTGGATCGTCCAATGTACCTTTTGGACAGGTTTCGGCCACGATTTTGTTCGTGTTGTTGTATCTAGGGTAGTTAATATCGTTGCATTAATACTTCTTGTCCTGGGCGTGTTTTTTTTTGTGTTGCTTATATATAATTTAGTATGTAGTTACTAGTCGCGTCATGTAATTAGAACGCTGGAAGAAAGTGGAGAGGGTATGATTACGCATTTGCTTACGCGATTTACACTCGCGCACCAAAGTACTAGGCCTCTATTCTAAATTGTTTATCGATAGAAAATATCGATATTTTTTAAAATCGATCTTACCCTCATCACTTCGCTGCACTGAGTATATGATCTGACCTTGACGCGTCCAATCACAGCGGGGCTGACCTCCCTGCACCCCACCGACTTTGGCGATTTTGATTCCAAACAAAATTTGTGTGATGCGGACTCTAAGTGGGGGTGCTCCATGACTGCAGCTAATAAAAAGTCGAAGTATAAAACTGTAGCTATTTTCAAATTTAGAACGCATTATAATACTACTAAATTGAAGAGTAATGATAAAGCGAATAATTTACGTTGAAGTTGTGAAATCAGTCTGGTTACATCGGCCATCCTTACTCTCTATAAAAAGTTTTAGAAATATTGGTTTATTTGTTTACCTTTTGCCTCAGAGGAAGTTGAATAGAGTATCAGATCGAATCGAATAGGGCTAGATCGGTACTATTCTAACCAAAGCGCAGTCAAATGTGTGTAAGTGTGAGAGTAAATCATACTTTATTCAGCCTTTTTTTAAAGTTGTTCACGATTTTATATTGCTTTCAGGTTACATTTTGGTAATATTTCTTTTTTTATTTGTAAAACATTCAAAAGAGAAACTGTTTGTTTCAAATTTTATTAGTTACATTGATAAGCTTTAAAGTTTTTTTTATTATACCTAGAATTTAGCGCCCAAACATTGTCGGCCAATTATCCAAACGAAAGAAAAGTGCTACATCTACCCCTTTCCAATACATTATCGAGCTTATTGGTGAAATTTGGTCGGACTGAATGCATATTGTTGCTATTTTTGCATTCCTCGTAGTATAGGATGATATAGGCGCGTGCGGAATGCCACTGAACTGAAACTATGCGCAGCATAGTTGCGCTCGATGCTAACTTCACAGCTGTCATAAAGTTTGAAACGCATTATAAAAAAAGGCCTTACCACAAAAAAAACGAGTGTGCTTATGACAACGCGACTGAAGTGAAACTTCTTTACCTTCATCTGTATGTATTATATAAGTGTGTGTACAATATATACATGTATGTACATATATATATTTCATTTACTAGTGTGCGCGCGCACTGCTTTTTCTTGCTTATATCCCCACTCAACTCCCGTTCGCCTCGTCCGAACACACTTTTCGTAACACGTAATGCATTCGCCAGCTTACCCCATAAGTAAAGCGTGCGTAAAGAAGTTTCAATTCAAAAATATAGTCAGATGTGTTGACAAAGTTTAAGCAAATGTCATACATAATTCGCCTTAACATAAGCATAAAAAAGTGTCTAAATCTTTTTCGTTTTTAAGTTAATCCTTATTTTATTATATACGTTATCTCTGGCTATGTTGTTACTAATTTGCTTATTTTAAGCTTTTAAGGATTTCATAATGTGTTGTTGTGTATTTAATTTTTATTATTAGTATCGTCACTGCAAATAAACTAATTCATTACACTGCTAATATCATGAAATAGCACATCTTTGATTAAATCACATGAAAAGTTTCATTTGGTTACATTTATGTTTTTGTTTCCCATATTTACAGTGTAGTTTTAAATTTTAATAATCATCCAAATATCGCTTTTTAACTGTAATATTTTTAATGTGATGGATGATTGATGATTTTATGGTATCCTTAGTACAATTATTTCCGTCATGTGTGATATCATTTCCGTGGTTCATGTGGCTTTAACATTCATTTTCAATGCGCTGAAAATATAAATAAGATAAATAGGAATATTAAGCTGACGTTCAGTGATTTATGCAATGTAGGGTCTAGTGGGGGACAGTGTAACAGGGGCTCTGTGTAACAAAAAGAATGTCTCTTTAAAATTCTCGGCCATTTGATGTCTGATGACGGCTGCTGCTTAAGATTGCGGTATAATAGGGCAGAGATATTTCCTTAAGTTACCTTTTGTTAGGCCGTATACAGAAAGAAAGCCGAAAGCCAATCGGCGCTTATCGGCGCCGATCCTTCCTACATAAAGGAAGCCGATTAAAGCAGATCAAGCAAAATGTCGGACTCATCGGACGATGATCTTGTTTTGTTAGAAAATGTGTATTTAAAAATGCGAAAAAAAGCTATACATCCTATAAATAGAGAAAGGAAACGTTTCGGAGAATACCATCATTTATTTGTAAAAAAAAAGGAAATTTGATGAACAAAGATTTTATACATATACAAGAATGATTCAAGAAACATTTTATTACATTTTGGATTTAGTGAAAAACCGTTTGATGAAAAAATGGTGCAATTGGCATAAACAACCAATCCTTCCAGAAGAAAGACTTGTTGTCACCATTCGGTAAGTACGAAATAAATAATTTTAGCGCTTAGTTAATAAAAGATAAAGTTATTAGATTAATAAAAAGATTATAACTTAGATTGATTTAATCTAAGGATAATAATTCAAATACAAATTATTTATTATTCGAACCAGCGCGCCGATATGCGCCGATCGGCGCCTGTTCATAGAAAAAGGATCAGCGCCAATAGGCGCCGATAAGCGCCGTTCGGCGCTGATCGGCGCCGATCGGCTTGCGGCTTTCTTTCTGTATACGGCCTAACACTCTTCCCCACTTGACCCTATAGGATGATTTTCAAAGTTTGGGTTTGAATCGTTGATTGATGGTTGGATTGAGCGTAAACCAACGATATTAAATACCACCGTACCATACACGGCGTGCGGTCAAAATGTGTCCCAATCAAGAAATGCTTGAACACCACCCAAGCACTTCTTGGTTCACAGTCACGCGCGGTCCGTTGAAAAGTCAAGTTGCAGCAGTGCTCCGTGAAAAAATGCGAAAAAAAATCTTATAGTACGTAAAGTGTTGTTTTTTCGACAGGTATATAATCAATGTTTGTTAATTTAACGCATTCGAAGCAAATTTTGTTCTTATACTTACTACATATAAAATGATTTAATAGAAAATATTTTGATATTTAAATTCATGTTCGGTAATATAGCCGTCTCTTTTCCTCGCGGTCCGTACCTGCTACATTGCTAACATCGCATTCAGAATTGCGCGTAGGGTCAAAGAAATAAAGTGTATGTTCTTCCGCATATAGCAACAAGTCGAAAAATTTTACGAACTTGCATTTCGAACTGTCATAACTTTTTGACGCATGCTTTTCAATTAAGACTATACAGTATGCATTTAAGGTGACTTCAATGTTTAATTAATGAATTATATTGTTTTTGACTACGCGATCATCTTACGGAGCTCCGTGGATCGTCCAATGTGCCTTTTGGACAGGTTTCGGCCACGGTTTTCTTCGTGTTGGTGTATCTTGTGTATTTAATATCGTTGGCTTAAGCGTCAAGTATGATAGTAAGTGATTGGTTTAAAGTATGTACGGCAGGCGTCAAAGCTATTGGGCACACGATCAACTTATAAAAGAGCATAATTAGGAACTAACGAGATCATCATCATCATCGGCTTGTTAATAACCCCACTGCTGGGGCATAGGCCTTCCCTATGGATTGCATAGGGAGATTGAGCCGTGACCCACCACGCGGGTTCAGTTTTTGGGTGCTAACGACTGCAGATTCAGCCGAGACCAACGGCTTAACGTGCCTTCTGAAGCACGGAGGAGCTCGAGATAATAAGTTTTGGTCACCCATCAAACAACCGACCATAATGAAAATTGCTTAAATTTCACGATTGCAGGCCGAATGCGCAAACCATCGAGCTCCTTAATGAGAACATGGTGAACATGAACTTTTAACACTATTCACACGTATAGTACGAAGACCCTGTTCTATCTTCGTTAGTGAACCATTCATCTTTTTTATTAATATTTAACACGTTAATGGGGGACACCATGTGGTGGGCTGCGCGTATGTAGTAAAAGGGGCCAGGATTAAATATTTGTTTGTAAAAAAAATGTCAAATTTGATAAAATTTGACATATTTTTTCTAGGGAGGAACCAATAGGATCCGAGGCTGAATATCCTGTAAATCATATAAAAAACTTTGAAGAAAAGTAATGTATGATTTTATTTCGCCACAATATTATAATCGTCACACATTAGGTGTCTCCTATGGCCTACGCGGAAAATAATTCGAATGTCCGTTAGCCGGGACCGCGGGGTCGCAGTATCGGTCATCCCACAACTCATGCATCCGGCTTGTCAGCGTCACGAGTCCCGATTTGTGCATTGACGAAAGCGTTGTGTTGGTTGTGCCATACTGAGCCGGACATAATGACTCCACCTGTCTTGATGTTAAGTGACGGTGGACTCCAGACGCGAAAATAGCTAGAGCAGCAGTTTTACCCGCCACAGCAGCCATCCTCATCTTAATGAATTGTTCGTGTACTTTATACTGCAGAAAAATCGTTTACGGTTAAACCTATAAGGTTTAACATTAACTCATTTCTTTGTCGCACTATCCGTAAATGGAATGCTCTGCCCGCTCACGTGTTCCCTCCCTCTTACAACTTGGGATCCTTTAAAAGAGGGGTGAGGAAACAACATGCAGGCCGGCAAGGTGAGGATGGATGGTGTGACAGGTAGAACTGCTGTATCAGCTATCTTCGTGTCTGGACTTCGGATTCACTTAACATGAGGTGGGGTGGAGTCATTTGTTGGAGACCTATCTTTAACAAAAAAAAACGACGGGTTGTACTCCGGGAGTGCCGGCAGAAGAGTGAAAACTTGAATATTAACGTTGTGCATTTTTGATATTGTGGTATGGTTAGGGAATAATTTTGCACGAATTGCTTTAATTATCAGTATAAAAGTACTATCATGTATGGGGTAGAATACAATATTTATTTATTGCGCTTTCGTACACAAACATGGCAATTTATATTACATTAAAAAAGTTTATCTCTCAGAAAAATCAACTTACATGAATCACGTTTCAGCGCACTTAGCGACATCTATTGTAAAGAAATCAACTTACATGAATCACACTTAAGAACACCTAGCGACGTCTATTGTAAAAAAATGCATTTTCTTCGCAATAAAGCTGCCACGTGGACGTCTTAGATAGACTTATTATTATAATGCGATAAACTAAAATATTACTATGTTTCGTCCAATATATTGAAAGTCAACAACCTTTCCAATTTTATTGTGTGTCATGATGCGATCAGCCCACGTGTTTAACCTGACGCGAGTTTAACATTTTTTACTCATACAAAAAAGGTTACAACGCTGCTAAAGAAGTTTTCACTTCAAAACAAAGGTAGTAAGGCTTCACGGGTATTGTACAGGCAGCAGCGTGTCAGACGTGTCGCTGGGCGGGCCGCGCCTGGTGTCGCCCGACCCCGCCGCCGAAGCCCCGTCGCCGGACACCAACGAAAGCGACAACAAACAAAAGTAAGTCAAATGCTTCTTCCATACTTGCACGACGTAGCTTATTATTTGATCTTGAACTATTTGTGTTCTTTTTTAAAGATTAGATTTCTTCAGTGATGGCTCCATCAGGATTTGTCCAAAATCTGGTGATTCTGTCTAAAATTTCTTGTCGAGGTTTGTTCGGTGAGGGCTTGTTTATAGTTATGTTATTATGCTTATGCTGTGTAAGGGCTTAGTGCAAGTACAAGGACCTAGGATTAAGGAAAAAGAATAGGGAAAAACAAAGGAAAGGTTAAGGTATAGTATGTTGAGCTGCCTGAAACAATCTATACATATAATAAAATGGTAGGAAAGTCAAAACTATACATTGAATATTTTTTTTAAAAGAATACATGGGGTGTGATCTACAATCGATACCGTAACCAAAAATATAGCTTTTACCATTTTTGTCTGTTTGTCTGTATGTATGTCCGGGATAAACACAAAAAGTACTGCATGGATTTACTGAAAATTTGTCACGAATGTTATAAAGAAGTCGGGGTCAACATATAGGCTACATATTATCACGCTATCACCTACGGGGAACGAGCAGTGAACCTTTATTTGTAACTAACTCCACGAGTACGAAGTCGCGGGCGGACGCTACTAAGTACAATACAAAACATTGTACACCACAGATAACATTACTTTTAGTACATAACCAATATAAACTAGTGTAACATTGGGCGGCCTTATCGCTGAGAGCGATCTCTTCCGGACAACCTTTGGATGGAGAGAACTAGAAGGAAGTGGGAGAGACGGGGCGTAAATCACTTGAGTCATAAATCAATAATAATAAATAGTTAATTAATGTATTATGTATAATTTGAGTCTTTGTTACTTGAAATAAATAAATAAATGTAAATATATAATCACACTAATATTATAAAGGCGAAAGTTTGTGAGTGTGTGAGTATGTGAGTGTGTATGTTTGTTACTTCTTCACGTCTAAACGGCTGGAGCGATTTTAATAAAATTTGGTATGGACTTAGCTGACACCCTAGATTAACACATAGGCTACTTTTATCCCGAAAAATGTTAGGTTCCAGAGGGATTTTCAAAAAACTAAGTTAACGCAGACGAAGTCGCGGGGTACCTCTAGTAAAATATAAGTGTAAGTAATCAAGCTGAGTGATATTTAAAAAAAAGAGGTTGTATGTTCAATGACAGGAAGAGTTTAAGCGGTGCGGTTCGTCGAGCACTCGCCACTGGCAGAACCAGACGCACCTCCTCCTTCACGTCTGTAGAGCAGTTCACCAAACGCCAGTCCGGCACCGTCGATGTCTGGTGGCTGTATGATGACGGAGGTAACAAACATTATATGTATTTCGTTTATTTAAACTAATATTTGGGGAGCTGGCGAAAAAAAACGGTATAATTACGCATCTGCTCAAACTACTTTTTTTTACAGTCTGTAGGTTTCGGGCCCGTTGAATTTGAATCGCAAACAATTTTTAAATTAAAATCGCCTAAAATAGTGTTAATATTACTAAATTTGTAAATTAAAATCCATGCCAAATGCTCACTGGAGGTATGTCATTCAGGTTTATACAGCTCCTGTAAAATTTAATTTTATGTAATTATACCGTTTTGTTCGCCAGCTCCTTATTTGAAGTCGGTGTCGTGCACGTCTTATAGATCTGAGTTTCCATTTACTCCTTAAGCGGCGAATTTATATTGAATAAGATGATACCAAATAATATTTTACGTTAACGATTATGAGACGAATATTTCTTAGGTGAATCAAAATAGGTACGTTACAATTTGGTGTGCAATCGTTTTTATAAAGAAAGTTGTCTCGAACACACTAGAGACGGCGGATTCTTTCGCTGCTGACTTCATATTAATGTGATTGCAGTTAGTTCGTATGATTGCGATAGATGTCAGCAGTAGTCACACCGGGAAAACAGTATTTTTTCTTTATTTTTAGTGGTTTTGCTTTTATGAAGTCGGTTTTTATTTTTAAAAGCTTTTATTAAACTTGCAATGTATGTATGTATGTTTGTTCGGTGAAATCTTGCAATTCATTTTTGAAGCAGATGTCTTTATTCGATTGAACTGAAATCTCTATTTTACTAAAACTAGAGTAAGCCCATACAATAATACAACGGTTACCTACAATGCGGATAAATGGCGCTGCCTTGTAGCATAAGAAAGGCTAGAGGAAATTCGTACGGCCATCAGGGCAGTAGCATTATGGTCAGTGCATTTTCCCGGTTAACGAAGGGTTCTGGTTCGAGTCCCGACCACTGCCTGGTTCGCGTGGATTTTTTTCTAATAAACTTTTCATTAGATTTAAACACATATCAGTTAAATGCTAATAAAAATAAAAAAATATACCCATACAATAAGGTCAAATTGATAATGACGTTTTGATATTTTTCTATGGGTTAAATCAGGTTTTAGTTGAAACGAGTTTTAGGAAATAGCTATACTAAATCTCAATTTAATTGTTACTAGATTTAATCCATAGAAAATCGTCAAAACATCAATGTTAATGTTTGACATCATTGTATGGGCCAAGGCCCACTTGCAATAAATTTGCTAAATATAGCTTCAACTAAAACTAGATGTAATCCATAGAAAATTGCCAAAATGACAATTGACATCATTGTATGGAATGAATCTAGTTTTAGTTTATTTCAGATTTAGCAAAGCTCCTGCAAGGTGGCCTATAAATTTATCTTTAGTTAAATCGAGATCCGTAGTTTTGCGAACCGATGGCGTAGCTTCTTGACCTTCACAAGTGCTTGTAACAGCCTAGACTGAATAAATGACTTTTCATTTCATTTTATTGGGCATATTTACTGCAAGTTGGCCTAACTAAAAGATATTTATATGGATTTTCTTTTTCATTAAGGTCTAACGCTTCTACTGCCGTACATTCTGTCGACACGTCGCGCGTGGTCTTCATGTCCCCTGAGAGTGTTCACACTCGCCAACAAGAACACTGAACTCGAACTGGAGGAAAGAAAGTCAGTACAAACTTCTACTCAACGTCATCATCACACTATCAGCCTATTAATGTCCCCACTGCTGGGGCATAGGCCTTCCCTACGGATGGAGTAGGGATCCTGGGCCGTGACCTATCACACGGGTACTATTGGTGGGTCTATCGACAGCAGATGCAGCCGGGACCAACGGCTTAACGTGCCTTGCGAAGGAGGAGCTCGGCATAATAAGATTTCGGTCATCCAACTCTACTGAACTAACTTATATTTTACTAGCGCCCCGGCTTAGTACGGGAGAAATTAATTTTGACACAATAAAATATAGTAACAATTTTTTTTTTCAAGCATGCAACTGCTCGATGATGATTTTCTTTATGGAAGGGGAGCCCAAGCGGGGATTTTTGGATTTACTCGAGCGCGGCAGAATAACATATATGGGGAGCAACGTTGCACGTCGTTAAGTACCCCCACTATACCTGAGCTATCTATGTAGGCCGAACGTCTAGGGCAGCAAAAACAAAGCTTCAACCAACGGCCATGACTTTTGGTCGGGTCCAAATCGTAAGTCTTTTGAATAGGAGGTACTGGAGGGTTCACGTAATATCCCTTCTCAATGTCTGACGCGGTCGGTTATTTTTTCCTATATTCTTCCCTTTCGTACGGTCACCCCCATATCATGCAAACCGCGGCAGATCAATATTTATTCCGTTCTAAGAAACGTTACTTGAACCCTCTAGTAGCTTTCATTCAAAAGACTAACGATTTGGGCGTCATGACCTTTCGTTGAAATTTTGTTTTTGCTGCCCTACACTTTCGACCCTACATAGATAGCTCCGGTATAGTGGGAGTACTTAACTATGTGCAAGGTTGCTCCCCATATGTTATTCTGCCGCGCTCGAGTAAACAATAAAATATAGCCTATGTCAAGAATAGGCTATTTTTGACAGAATAAAAAATAAAGTAACAGTTCTTGGCATTTGTATTTAACTAGAATATTCAGAGGGATTTCAATATTCTTTCAAAAAAAGTAGTTGATAATTACTTAAAATCATGAATAAGAAAAGTATTTTTTTAACTATTGTCACGTGACCGAAAACACCTAAGATTGTTCGGCGTGTTAACTAGAGCCGCGTGACGTCACCGGCCTGTAAGGCGCCATATTTGGTAGTGAAATGGAAAATATAAGAATATTTCATTTATTGGTTATATTAAAGTAAAACCATTTCAACATCTATCAGTTAAATGCTTAAAACGATAAAAAATATAACCATTTTTTTTCTTCCCTTTCAGTATGGCCTCCCTTCTATCGAAGTTCCGTATCGACTACTCCGCGTTGAAGATGGTTCCCGATATCACGAAGAAACCGCGGGACTCAACGCTCGCTTACTTTGACAAGCTGATCGCGCCCTTCAGGACCAACGACGATAAGGAAGACGGTGGTATGCACGTTATTATACATTTACTTAAAATAAATAAATATTTCCAACATTCACACCAATTAGCCTAGCCCCAAAGTAAGCATTGTAAGGCTTGTGTTCTAAAAAATCATTACAAAATATTGTAATTTATTTTTAAAAGCCTTATGATTTATAATTATGGTGGAAGAAGACAATTTCAGTGTCATAAATAATACAAAATATTAACACTAAAATTTTATCGCCTCACCAAAATTATAAATTGAAAAATTGTCTAATTGAATTTGGCAAATAAAATATATTCATGAACACAAATAATTAACAGCCTTAACTTAGATACCTATTATACAAATTAATATAAAAAAAAATGTTTTTTTTTTTACTGAATATGACATCTAAAATATCTTTTTCTAGTAAAATTGTCTTTAGGTTAATAAATTATTCGTCTAATAACGACATTCGTAAATGTCATTTGATGCTAGAACGTTTTGTTTGAAAAATATTTTTTGAAATAATTTTGTTTGTGGAGTGTAGCTGTATATATAAAAGAAGAGAGAAAAGTAGCTATCACAAGAATAGTGTTCAACCGTTATTTGTATCGATTGAGGAGCTAGATGGCGCAGGATGGCTTCAACGATCGCAGCCGAACGCGCTAACCGCGTTCAGCTGCGATCGTTGAAGTTAAGCAACATTCGCAGTGGTCGGTCATTGGATGGGTGACACGTTAAGCCGTTGGTCGCTCTGCGTCTGCAGTCGTTAGCATCCACCAATCTGCACTGGGCCCGTGTGGTGGGTTAGGTTAGGTTAGGTTAGGCCCAATCTCCCTATTCCATCCATATTGAAGGCCTGTGCCCCAGCAGAGGGGATATTAATAGGCTAATGATGATGATGTTATTTGTAATTTGTCACCAGACGGTATAACCGAAGCGGACCTGCTAGCGGCCCGCGACCGCACATACCGGCACCTGCGCCTGCGCGAGCTCATCATGGCGCAGTCGTCGACCGCGCGGCTCGTATGCGTGACGCTGCCCCTGCCGCGCCGCCGCGGGGTCGTTCCTCCCGCACTATATACCGCGTGGCTGCATGCCATCGCCACCGCGGCCGACCGCCTGCTGCTGGTGCGCGGCAACCACGCGGCCGTGCTCACATTCTACTCGTAGGTAACATGTAGACGCACTATATACCGCGCGGCTCGTATGCGTGACGCTGCCCCTGCCGCGCCGCCGCGGGGTCGTTCCTCCCGCACTATATACCGCGTGGCTGCATGCCATCGCCACCGCGGCCGACCGCCTGCTGCTGGTGCGCGGCAACCACGCGGCCGTGCTCACATTCTACTCGTAGGTAACATGTAGACGCACTATATACCGCGCGGCTCGTATGCGTGACGCTGCCCCTGCCGCGCCGCCGCGGGGTCGTTCCTCCCGCACTATATACCGCGTGGCTGCATGCCATCGCCACCGCGGCCGACCGCCTGCTGCTGGTGCGCGGCAACCACGCGGCCGTGCTCACATTCTACTCGTAGGTAACATAATAAATAAATCGATATGTCCAATATTAACAATTAACTATGGTTAAATTTTACTACCCATGAAGCAACGCGGGCTCATTAAAGCCAGTAATTTAAAAACCCACGTTGGGAGCCAATTTGAGCGACTTATAAATAAAAAAAATGGGTGCGTGTACTTATGTAGGCGCGTGAGAAGTTATCCGTCTTTGGCATCGTTTAAAATTAGTTTTTAATTACATGCAAATAATTAATTACAATAAATTAATAAAAAGTCTGGAAAAGGACACAGTCAATAAAGTTCAGTTTTAATTTGAAAAAATAAATAAATAATTAAAATATTCAATTAAAATCGCTACTGAATATAATTTATTTATAGAAACTCAAACACGTATTCCGAATATACAAACTAGAAACATGTGGATAAATATTATAAATATGAATACCTATAACTGTTACTTTATTACAAAAAATAAAGATGTGGTTTTTGGTTCTACTACACCAATGGTCAAGAGATGGCGCTGTAGTCTCCTGAATCGCGCTTTGGTTCCGTTGTTCCAGATTAATAAATTCTTTGATAGGCCTTCACAATGCAGTCGTTAGCACCCACAAAATAGAGATTCTATTTCTATTTTGTTGGTAGATTTTCTTAATGTGCGGTAAACACAAAAGTAAACTAAAGCGACCAACTTCATGCTGTTAATTTTTTGTGTTACAGTGATGCGCGCGCATCTTAAAATTTCACTCTCATCATTTTTTCATAACGCGCCTAAAGAAGTGTAACTTCAATAATAAATAAATATTTCCAACATTCACACCAATTAGTTTAGCCCCAAAGTAAGCACACTGTATTGTTCATATAGAGTAGGGTCTCCAGCAATTTCTTTTAAAACATTCAGCACAAACACTAAACTTTGTTTCTGAAACATTTTTCTCTACTCACGCCGTCTACTGCTCACGTTGCAGTCGTACACAAAGTACACAGGGCTACGTTCAAAAACTACTAATCCATGTGAAACAAATGTCAAATTTGACAAAAGTTTCGAACATTTTATGTCAAAATCGTCAAAATTATCAAAACGTCAGAGTGAAAAAGTTGTACCCAGAGCATAGGCTTGACACGGAGCCCACGCTAGCGCGGTGTCAAAAGCAATGGCCGATGAAACAATATCCTGCCCCTCGGCCCGCGCGGGATTTGTATACGTGTTATCCATCGGGCTTGGAAGCAAAAACATTATTGATGCATACAATTACATGTAGTTAAACAAAGTTACGTGTAGTGAAACAAAGTTTTGTATACACTATTTTGTTGAATGTTGATATGTTTTTGTTGATTGCGTAGGGCAAAATATGAAGATTACTTCCCCAAAGTAATATTTCGTATTAATAGTAGCTAGTATCTTTAATATTTCCGCACATATCATACTAATTTAATAACACTCGAACTATCTTTATTTTACAGGTAGAAGGTCGAGGCGACAACGACAAAACGCTTACGTAGTTCACTCCATTTTTTGGTCTGAAACTAAGTAAAAACGTTACGTACAATCGTTTAAAGTTCTAAATTACTAATATTTAAACTAGTTCTCATGCTCTTCGGACAAGTGACTTTTTTTTATTACATCGACTACAGATAATTTTTACTGTTACAAAGTTCGAGTGATTCGGTTGATAATAAAATTAGTAAAAATACGAAAAAAAATGTATTCAATGTTAAGATAACATTAAGAGCAGAGGCACTTGTAAATTAAGGTTTTAGTTAAGAATTTTATAGATAAAAAAGTTTTAAACTGACGTTCATTTAATGAAATATTGTCTGTTTCGATTTCCCAGTAAAATAATCTTATTTTTTAAAAAAATACAGAATCTCAGTGCGATCTTCTAGTGTACATTCGTGATAGGAAGAAGTTAATCGAATTTAAAAATCACTACTTTTCCACATCACATGGGGGAATGACTAGTGACATTAAATTTTAAGAATAAAATTCTCACACCGCCATGGTAATAATAGATCTGGAAAAAAATCTATTTGTGATCAGTAAATGTCTTTTTTCCCTAGTTTATATTCATTTGTTTAGATTGATGTTCGGTTTGAATCTGTCATGATTCGTTAAAGTAAATTAACAGCAATCTCCTTTTCATTCTTCATAGAGCATGACTAGAGAATCTCGCCAGAATGAGGCCCAAATTTTACTTATTATACCTATGACATTCCTCGTTTTGTCCTCGTAGTACAAATATGTATAGGCTATTAAAAAAAAAAAACTTCAACATTCGTCAGTTTAAATGCAAACCTGACTAATATTATAATTTTCTTTCATAATTATGAATTTATATATCCAGTGTTTAATATTTACACAAAAGTAAATGAATTTACGTACACTTTTCAGTTACGGTTATATTTGAATGCAATGAAAAAAATAAGTTAAATCAAAGCAGAAACATTCTGTGTCGTGTTGTGTTGTGATGCGATCGGTTTTATACATTTAGTATGGTTAGAACTATACTTGTGTGTCGCTATGTGTGTGTCGACACATCGCGACACACAACACACGCTTAAAGGACTACTGACCTATTAGTACTTAAGACATGCAGACAAAAACTTGTCCTAATACCATCTATATTATTCTATTCACTGCTTCATAAATATTGCTGTCATTAACACCTTACTTTAAAATTAGACACATACCTAGTAAACAAAAAAATGCTCAAACACCTCTATATTGTACGTTATTCAACGCTGAACTAAGTACTAATAGGTCAGTATTCGCACTCGAAAGTATTGCACTCGAACCGACCTAAATGTATGAAACCGATAGCTCTCCGATGCGTCACAACCATGGAGGTTAGAGATAAGGAGAACGGTCCCTGTAGAAAATAGTGTCCCAGAAATATGGACAAAATAACTGAGGAGCTGTGATCGCCAAGTTGTCTCAATAAAAGCAGGCGAATTTGAAATGACCAAAGCCGCGAAGAAAATTAGGCTACGAAACGTCCATAAATAAATAAAGTTTCGTGCATAAACCCGTAAAAACTAGTTTTATTTAATGAGTGATGTGCGTGAAAACCTAAGAACCAAATAACTTCATCTACTTGTACTCATAAACAGCTAACTTCACAGATACTACTTACCGACGGCAGCGCGGCTGGTGGCTGAAAAATGAACTATAAATTCTACAAATTTTCAGGGACATGCGGGCTAATGCTTTAGCACGTAGCGATCGTTCTCTCTAACCTCCATTTACACAACACAACACGACAGACAAGTGTAGTTCTGCCATTACTATTTATTCGTTGCTGATACCTTCATCAATAAATATGTAGGTACTTCGACATTCATTTATAGTTAGTCAAGTCTAAAAAGGCTTAAATTGCGATGTGTATTTAAATATGCATGTAAGATTTAAAGTACCGAAAGAGTTATAACGTATTAAAGGCCGCACACAGAGACGCCGATTAAATTAAATGCTCATCATAGTGATGCATTGTCTTATTTTAATAATATTATCATATGTAGAACTTAATTGAGATCTTTGAGTAGCAGAGATTATAAGCATTAGAATATTGTCAAAGATAATTTCTCTCTCTTGAAATATTAAAAAAATCTGAAATTTGATTTCATTAACTTTAGAATTTTAAATTTTAATTTATTTTATTATTTATTTTCATTATGTATTGCTTTTTTATAATGTGTTTATATGAGTTTTGTTTTTAACACAATTTTATATATTTTTGAAGTTTTTACTAAATTAATAATATAAAGTAGAGTAAATGAGCACGTAGAAAAAAAGAAAAATTAAATGAAAAAAAATGCATTTTATTTTCATATTGTTGTGTCCTCCGTCTATATAAAAATTGTATTGGGTAAGTAAGTATACACAAGAATTATGCCAAACGCCAGTATGACCTTTGTAAACCTTACTGCCTTATCATTAAGTGTGCCTAAATTAAATATAAAATTTTACACTACTTACACCACAATCACACATACCAAGTGATGTGCGTGCCTTACTTATACAATGTTCGCAAAGGACAAAATTTTGATACCCGTACTTTTATATATATTGATATTGTTTTTGTACAACTTTTCATGTATATCGAATAGCGTATAGAAATGGCTAAGTGTTGATTAACGTAATTAGTATTATGACATTTACAAATTGATCTTGTGGCTCAGATACACGACGATACCAGGCACTAGACGCTCAGTGTATACATCGACTGTCTCGGTCTCCACTGCTGATGTAGTGGCGGTGTCGTTCAGTGTCCGTGTCTCAGCTGTCTCCACAGGAAGTGCGACAGACATCCAATGCACTTGAACCAGGACACTAGAAGTTTATACTAATGTCAACACAAAATTGCTTTCATAATTGTGGACGCAGTCGACACTAGTGTCAACATTTGTGTCGAGTGTCAGTGTCGTCGTGTATCTGTGTCATAACTGGCACCGTTGTGAGGCGATTAAAATTTCATAGCCTACGTTTTATCTTTGAGCGCTTTATATATTCGTAATTATGACAATATTAGGACATTTGTCGTCATAAATATTTTTGTATACTCTCTTTTGGATAATATTGTGTTATGTATAATGGATTTTTTACAAATGTACTTTACAATGAAATTATTCAGTGATGCGTAGTTCTGGCCTATATAATGTTAGTGTCATATTTATCTTAATTTTAATTTTAAGGGACATCATAAAATTAGCCTTTGTTGAAGCTGGACTCAGTATACAGAGTGTACCGATAATCCATTTCAACAATCACTTTTATATACCTTAAAAGGTCTCCCTTGCCTGAAATATTTGCCCGTAAAGTAACTACAGTGATTTTCATCAAAATTTCCACCACAATTTGGCGCCGTTGCGATGCCGAAGTCAGTGTGTCCTTTTCACTCCTTACAAAGCGTGATAAGGACAGACTATTGTCAAGATTACAAATAGCAAATACGAATAGCCAAGTGAAGTGCCGGCATGACACTTGAGATCTTGAGAGTAAATTATTTGGTGCGAATTTATCTACAGAGTATTTTAAATACGCTTTATTAAATCATGACAACATGAGAACTTTGCCGTGTTTGAAGCCTATCATACCAGAAAATTCAAGATTTTATTCTGAACATATTACAATACTACTTAGTGACAATGCATTCATTCAATTTTGAGCTTTGAACAGTGGCGGGGCAAGACCTAAATTTGATGGGGGCAAGACAGATTTCGCGAGGCCCCGTTCTGTGGCGACCTGAAGACGGATTTTATAAAATAATAAAAAAAAAACAAATTCGCTTTTAAGCAATGCATAAAAAAATTCCAGGCGCGAGGCCTCTTGTACCGCGACTCCGTAGGCGGTGGCCCACGTCGCCCACGCCTTACGCCGCTTCTGGCTTTGAAGTCACATAAGTCCTGTACACTTAACACGAACCAATATCGAATTCGATCTCGATCCGTGTCAAATGTCAAGAAGTTTTGTATGTCAGTCAGTGGAGCGCTTGGGGTTTGGACCTCGGATTTTTGCAACAGTGAATAAAGTTTTATGGTTGGAATGGAATTGTGTTTTTTATACTATAATTGCACATTTACCAAATCTCCAAATATTTGAGGTTATAAATTCAGACCCCCTCCTGAAATTTGATTCGCTGTAGCTTAAGTTTAAGGTTTTCACATGTTTTTAACGCCCCGGGAGCTACACTATGTAACAGTTTTTAATTCTCCTTACGTCCGCTGTGGCGTTGTTCAAATTCCCAAACAAAACTTGACACTTTGACGCGAATCGCGATCGAATTCAATAGTTGCATTCGATATTTATTTGTGGTACCGGTACTGTACCCGTAGTAAGAGTTTACAATTACGAAAACTATGATAGTTTTCGTGAGCTCGCACTCGTACTAAGGGTACTGATTTTATGGTTTTCGTTTCAATACAAATAAACAGTGTTTAAATTCTAGCATTAATCATTTGCGTCTTCTTAAATTTTAAGTATATTTGGTTACTTTTCACCAAAATGAGAAATCAGAAATAGAAACATAATTTACAATTACGAAAACTATGATAGTTTTCGTGATGTTTGAGTTTGACCTCACGAAAACTATGATAGTTTTCGTACTAAGGGTCGATAGATAATAGCCAAACTCGTACTAAGGGTACTGAACTGTTGTAGTATTTCTGGCGCGGGAGTGCCTTCAAGAGATCTGTAACGTGTTTTAATTAGTCTTCATTTATACAGATTTTTACGACTTCTCTTTGCTCGGCAGTGTATTTTAATTTAAATTATTATTGGAGTGAATATTTTTTTTTAATTGCACGTTAGAGTAACTAAGTTACCACGTTTGTTTTTATTTATTTGACACGTATTTCGTAACTAATCTTATTTAATGTAGCTTATTGTCAACACGAGATGTATAATTTGATTAATGGTGCGATTGTGTAGCACCTCGCACCTTTATTTATTGTAGGTGTTTGACGTACTTTTGTACGAACTATGAATTGAAGAGTGAATAAATGATATTGTAAGAAATTTGCACTTTTGTTATTTTATTTTTACAATCCCATTATTCCTAAATAATCATCATCAGCCTATCAATGTCCCCACTGCTGGGGCACAGGCTTTCCCTATGGATGGAATAGGGAGATGGGGACGTGACCCACCACCTGGGCCCAGTGCGGATCGGCGGGTTCTAATGACTGCGGATGCAGCCGGGACCAACGGCTTAACGTGTCTTCTGAAGCACGGAGGAGCTCGAGATAGAAAATTTTTGGTTTATCCAATGACTGATCATGCGAAAGTTGCTTAAATTTAACGATCGCAGCCGAACGCGCTAGCCACCTGCGCCATCGAGCTCCTCCTCCAGCTTCCTAAAGAATATCCAGTCCCCCTAACATGAGCACCGTGATATGATATATGACGTGATTTTATCGCGTTCACTTGTCAAATAACTAAAGAGTTTGACAGTTAGACGCGATAAAAAATGTAATAATATTACATTTAATGTAAATTATATTATAATGTAAAGTGTGATGCTCATGCTGCGGGGACAGGGTTAATTTGACAGCTGAAAAGAAAAGCGTCATACCTGTTTTGGTAACTTAAAAGGAGAGTTAAAGTGAGAGAGATAAAAAAAACCTAACCGATTTCGATTCATTCCTGTTGCCAGACAATCTTGCAAACAAGTAGTTAGATGGTAAAATATGTTCTTGACCAGAAGGAGCAGTCTTCTTGAACTGGGTGACAGTGCCTTAGAGAAAACTCGTATTGAATCTTATTACTACGCAATAAAGTTGCTGGGTGGAGCTTGATGGCTTAATTGGTTAGCGATACGGCTGCGATCGTTGAAGTTAAGCCACTTTCGCAGTGGTCGGTCTTTGGATGGGTGACCAAAAATTTACTATCTCGAGCTCCTCCATGCTTCGGAAGGCACGTTGAGTCGTTGGTCCCGGCTGCATCTGCAGTCGTTAGCACCCACCGATCCGCACTGGGCCCGTGTGGTGTCATGGCCCAATCTCCCTATTCCATCCATAGGGAAGGCCTGTGCCCCAGCAGTGGGGACATTAATAGACTGATGATAAAAATTGCTGACAATATGAAGTTGTAACCACTGTATAGTCATTGACTAAGAGCTCGTTCGATTGTCGTGACCAATCGGAAGTAAGCAGTTTTTGGTTTGGACGCGTAGTAAGCAAATGCATTCCAAAAATAAATAAATAATGCGCAGTCAAA